ATATGCCTAGTTGGAATGTAGTTTGGAAAGAGAAGAGAGTTACTAAGATCACCATTGCTGCAATTTACTCGAAGATGGTTTCCAAATTCAGCATTGGTTCATTTGTAATTAGCTTGGCAATCGTACTGATGATGGTTCGTGTACTAAACCGTAAGGAGCTTCAAAGTCCTTTAGTACTCTTATTGATCTATTCAATTGGATTCTGGTAAGAAGAAGTTAATACATTGTCCTATTCAATTGGATTCATGTGAGGTGTATTACATGGTTTGGTGAAATGTTGATGTGTGTTGTTGTCTTCACCAGGGGGACACACTGCAGAGATGTTGAGTCTCCTCTCGGTTAATCGGAAGGACAGATTTACACCGAGGTTTTACATTGCCGCAGCTACGGATAACACGAGTCTCTAGAAAGCTCGAAGCTTTGAAGATTCTATAGCTGACAAGATTTAGTTAAATCCTTAAGTCTCCAGTAAGCTCGTGGCTTCTTGTGTTGTTGTTTCTGCATTGTTTTGGGATGAAACTGGATAATTCTACTACCGATTTACTAATTCTGTTTTCTATGATTGATGTTGGCTGTGAAGGAGGCCTCCTTACAATTCATGCAAATTTACTCAGATTCTTTGCTGATCTGCTGATCAATTCTTTGCTCAGCGGCCTCATCTGCAAAACAAGTATATATCCTCGGGCTCACTATGTCGGGCGCCTGATGTGAGAGCTGGTTGGAACTCTCCTCACACCTAGATTTATTACAATAACTTAGAGCCTACATGATCGAGTCACATTCGTTTTCGTCTGTTTTGGTTGCTATGAGCTTATTAGTGACTTGGGTAGCTTCTTCAAAACTAAACAAAACTCATCTACTTTTTATTTAAATTAAGTCTACTTCCTGTTACAATAATGTAAAAAAGAGTTTTTTTTTTTTTGTCATGGAAAATGATGACAGCCAGGAATAGGAACCACGGGCAATCCCAAAACGCTTATTGCCTTTGAGAATAGAGAAGAAAGCTGGAAGATCAGTCCTGTGCCACCGATGCTGAACACCTGCCAGGTAACAGCCGTTCCCATGTTTTTAGTTTTCCATTTCACTGCTCAAAGTTTTCCACTCGCCGCTAGCAAAAAGCCCCACCATGCTAACACAACTGGCCGCGTAGATTATCACATCATATCCATAACTTGTGAGAAAGTTTGCTTCTTGAGCACTTTACGAAAGGCTAGCTGTTGTAGGGATAAGACTAGACCATACCCTGCTGAGGCACCAACAGTGCATATGAAACCTTTCACATGCTCTCCTTTTGTGGAACTTGATTCCTCGTTGTGGAGGAAAAGAGAATTCAAAATGATAGGAGTGAGTTTTTGAGAGTTGAGGAAATACGAGAAAAAAAGAGTTAAAAGGCTAATTGAGATGCACAGATGAGGGTATAGGTAGAAAACTGGTAGGTAAAGCAATCCCGATAGAGCTCCTACAAGCTCAACGTAAACCAATACACGGTTCCAAGGAGAGGCTGTTTCGGCATCTTTATGAGTAGTTGTATGTGTTTTGAATAACAAGAGGTAGTATGGAAGCAGAACAGGAAAGCCTAAAAGCTTAAGTCTCATCGAATTCTCTTTTGATCTAAATGGAATTCTCTTTTGATCTTGCAATGCTCAAGTCTCATCGAATGTAATTTACTTCCTTAGATTTTAGTGGAATCATTACAAAGCTCAAGTCCAGAATCCCTAAATACCATCAATTCCTAAATATTTAGACAGAACTAATATCCGGCGAGTCTAGCCTGAGTTATCTCGTACGTTCTTCCGAAAATCAATTTCTTCCACTTCCAGATTGCTCTCGACCCATACCGAAGAAAAAACAGATTCTCTCTCCGGCTCTGCAACCAATATGTTCCATCCTCGTTCAACGTAGAAGATGAAAAATCCATGTCCCCCGAGATGAGAACGAGAACCGCTATAACAC